TAATACTAGATATCAGCATAGCAAGAGCAAACCTCCTTATCTGTATTAAAAGACAGTTCAGCAGTTTTCCTTCTTAGCCGTTAGTGGAGACAAAAAGATTGGAGTTAGGAAATGTTTCTCACAACAGGTATTAAAAATGTAAAGATTGGATTAAAACTGGATTCTTTCCTTTCTCCCTTTCAGTGACTGCAAAGTCCTTAGTGCAGTAAGTGTGGTTTTGTGATCCTTGAAGCTGTTGAAAAAAGGGAAATAATAAAAGTAAAGAATAGGGGTTTTGTTATTGCTTGATATCAGTAGAGTAGCATTATTTTATGACAGTATTTCATTTGTCTTCACTGTTCTGGCACCTTTTAAAATGTATTTGTCTTTATTTTTAAGCATTTGCAATAGGTGCTTTGTTCCTGTTGGTACTCTGGAGGTTACTCATGAAATCTAGAAGTCTTAAAAGTCCCACCTTCAATCAATCTTCCAGCAAGTTTTGTCCCCGGATCTGATATGCAAGCTTCTATACACTCCTTGTTTTAGCTGTGTTTCCCTGAAACTCAGCTGGAACTCTGCACTTCCTGAATGGATGTTCATACAAAAGCAGGCAGGTCACTTTGCAGAAAACCTTCTGCAAAGATAAATACCAAGATGCTTGATTTCAGTAAAACTTATTGAGCCTTGTAACTGCCCAGGAAGTGCAAGACTGGACTGCAGAGTGGTGGCATGCTGACACTCCTGTGCCTCCCCTCATATGTAAATAGTGCTGGAGAGGGTGGCACAGTCCATCGAAGCACTTCCTAAAATAACTCTTACTGCAGAATTTGAATTCTGTAGAATTTTAAGAAATATATCCTGGACACTGTGGGTGTCTGAACAAAAGAGTGCCATGTACCTCTCTGTTGCCTCTTTTTTTTTAGCCCAGCATATATCAATATCTTCCCTGGAGGAAAACAGGACTTATTCTTGTTTTCTCAGTCTGTCTGACCTCTAGACTACCCTTACTTTTAGCTGCTTTCTACTAGTTGTGTGTGAGATCTCATCACTTGCAGGAATTTTTGCAAGTGGGATTTAACAGCTATTCAGTAGCTATTCAGTCAAAAAATCTTTTTCCTTTTTTCTTATTGTTTTTAGTGAATGGTAAGCTTAGTCATGATTACTGTGTGGAGTGGAATTGTAATTACAGTGCAAAATCAGTTTTTTCTGTAAGCCAGAGAACTGCATTATTAATAGTAGTAACAACTACTAATAACATGAAGTCACACTCCATGTTTTGGTTTTGTAACGCCAAACCAGCAATTATTAGTTTATTGCAAACAAGCTGATATATATACATGTACTTTCTTATACTCCCAATATCAGCAACTAGCAAGTAAATAAAAAAAGCAGTATTGCTTTCCCAAAAGTTAAAAATGCCCAAAAGAAATTGCTCTTATTTAATATTTAATAATCACAGTTATTTAATGTTTCCCCCCAGATTTGTGAGTCTATGAAGAAGTTAGATCATGAACTTTGAGAATAAGGTAGTATGGGTATAGTGGCTCACTCAGAGCTTATAAAATTCTCCAAGTAAAAGAAGCCAAGTTTCTATTTAACAAGCTTTATCAAACCATTGAAGTTAAGTGAAAAGCACACTGATACGCTATATAAAGTACACAGAAAGGGCTTGGGAAGCTTGCAGAAAATAATTGTACCAAGTACTTTCTCCCATGATCACCACTCAACATATTGGTTGTTGTGGCAAAAAGAAGTGTACATGTGGGTCATATTTAGAGTCCTGCATCTCTTAGGGTAACCCTTGTTTCAAATTGAGTGCACATTCCTGTAATTAGGTCCAAGCACTGAAGTGACTCTACTAAAGCAGTGCAACACATTCTTCTAGAAGTTTGTAAAAAAAGTGTTCAGAAAGGACTCTCAGTGATATTTTTTTAAAAAATATTTTTTCAGAGCTTTAATTATAGGCAGATATACCAACTTGAATTTGGAGAATTCTTGTATGTGTCTACAGATGTAAGTCAGGTTTATAGAAAACATCAGTGCATTATAAGTGGTACTTGAAGAAGTACACTGAACTAGTTTACAAGGTAAGTTTCTAATATTTTTTGCAGTATTTTCCATAAACATGGACTGTGACAGACTGGGAAGAGGGTGCACAGGACATGTACCTTAAAACTGTGACCCCTGAGTATCCTACAAGCCTCCAAGCATGGCAGAGAGTTTCCTTCATGCTCTTTGCCACAGTGCTCTTTTAGAACCTCCTTTAGTGCTCATTTAGAACCTGTGGTCTGAGCCTTGCTGTGCTGTGCTCAGCAGTTCTGCAGCTGACTTGTTCTCCACAGCATAGAAAACAAACAGTATCTTCTTCCCTTGGCACAGTCTGAGGTGAGGAAAGGCAAGGTGGTGCTCCCTGGGTGTGCAGCATAGGTGTGCTTGTTCAACTGCCCCACCTACATAATTCAGGGTGAACAATTGATTTATGTGCCTGAATATAATATTTATGCATACATGTTCTGCAAGGCAATTATTGGCCTAGGTTGTGTGGACTGTGCACATTTGTAAGGTTTCTTTCATGTTAAAGCTCAATGTTTTTAATCACGTAAGCAAAACAGCCCAGGTGAAATGAAGCAACAAAAATGCTATTTACAGTCAAGGAATCTTTAAAAATGAACAGTCCTCTAATACCCAAGTCAGCCTTAAATCTGCAGCTGTTTTGAGCATTAATATCCTAGACTGCAAATAGACATAATCAAAAAATCTGCAAAGGATTAAAAAGAAAACAAAATAAAGGGAGACTCAATGATTCAAATAATGACTATTATATTTAAGAGTTCACTGGTTTACTACAGGTTTTGAGCTTTTAAACTATTTGTTTTTGTTGTATAAAATTTTTATTCAAGACCTCGAGCCTAGAATAGTACTTTAAAAATACATTAGAATTTGCTTATTTTGTCCTAATTTCAACATTTGTTATTTCCTATCTTTTGGCTTTAGAGGAGCTCTTGTAGCACTGCTATTTTCATGTTGACCTAGCGTAAAAGAAGTTCCTTCTTAACCTTGGATTTGATTTTCTGAAAACAACAGTCCTTTCAGTTATCTTAATTCTTCTTGTTCTCACTTGTTCTATAGAGACATTAATAGTTATTTTAGCACTGCAAATGGAAAACATGCCAAGTTTTTAATAGATAAGACACTTAAAAATACCTTAGATGTCAGAGGTGCCTATAAAATCTGAGGACATGTCTGAAACACATTACTACTGTTATGAATTATGCATTAGACCTGCCTCTGAAAGAGGAATTTTCCAAGACAGCTCTATTCAGTGCAATCTGTTTATCTCTAGCTGACAGCTGTCCATCAGGCAAGAAACCTGTGTGAAACTTGCACAAACTGGCACAGCATCTTCAGAGATACGGGGGAGTCTTTGTAGGCACCTGCCTTTGGCAGCCATCACTCCCACAAAGAGCTCATAAATTTCAGGTTGTCCCGAATGTTGAATGTCTAATAACCTCTGGGCCTCTTAATCACGGAGAGCTGTTCCTTCTCCTCCAGCTGGGAACAGCAGCTGAAGCACAGGCTGTGCAGGAAAGCAAAAAAATATAATTACAGTTGAATTCCAGCTTCCACTAGAGCTCCTCCTTCTCAACTCCCAGTACAACCCTGATAATTGTTTTGGGAGCTCTAATCCTTTGCAGATTGATGGATGTATCTTCAGCTGTATTTCAAAGGTTGAGTGCATGTGGGGCCTCTTCCAAGTACTGTTGAGGTTCTCCTGTAAATGTCTGTGGAAGGGTTGTGTGAGGACTTCCATGTGGCTTTATTTTATTGAGAAACCACTATCTCTGAAAATGCATTTGGAGAGGAATAGTGTGCTTCAAGGTTAAAGCTTTCCCCCTTGGTTAAAAAGGTGCTTTCATTCAAAGGGCCTTTAGGAAATTTGGAATCACCTTTTACAGTGCTTAGGTAAATGTTAGAACACAAATCATAAATCATGTAGGAATAAAGTTTATGAGTCTTTGTGTTGAATATAATTAAATGTATTGAAATCTTCAGGAAAAGCACAATGCCCAGAGCTGCTCTCCTGGTTTTTGCTAGAGATAAATTAGTGACCTACTTCTTTATCTCATTAATTTTTCTTCACAGTTCCACGCCAGCCTGGAGTGAGCAATAATCTGTTTGAAATACTTGAAATTGAAAGAGGGATTACAGCTGATGAATTTGAAGCAAACGATGACCCAGGTAATGACCATGTCTCCTACTTAGGACCTAGGGTTTATGATTTTTTGAGATTTCTTGTTGGTTTATACATTTTTCAGGACTCCAAAATCTTATGCCCCTCTTTGAAACTATGCTTTATAAAACCATGTAAAACCAACCCTTTGCCTATATGATGAACCTTACACTTTTATTTCCTAAAAAATTCACCACAAAAATAGCATGAATTGTTAATAATACAAGGGTCTTTTTTATTGTTTTAGTATTTTTGTAGATTCTTTTCCTAGGGCTCCTTCTGCATTTAATTTTCATACTTACTTGCTAATGTATGCTACATGGGAAATTGAAAACTAAATCAATCTGAAGAGTTTCTGTGGGTTTTTTTTTTGTGACCTCCTGCTCTGTTCTACTAGGTGTGCTGGTACACAGCTGTGATTTTGACAGTGGACTGTGTGGATGGATCAAGGACAAAGATGATGACTTGCACTGGGAACCAGTGAGAGATGTATCGGGTAAGTGATGTCTGTACAATCACAGCCTGCAGCTGAAGAACCACCAAGGCTTGAGGTTGATGACAGTTCTGCTTGAGAACAAGTTACACAGCTTCTGTTCCCTTTAGTTCCGGGGTATATTTCACACCGATGCCTCTTTTGTGTATAAAAAGCAAAATTGAGGATTCGCAATGTGAAAGAGCACTTGAAAATTTACACTTTGATCATAGCTGATATCTTTAAAATAGGAATGTCTCTGAAGGAGTAGTAAATGTAGTCAGCAAAAGTTTGTCTTAAATGAATCAGAAAAATATGTGGACTAGAGAACAACTTTTATTTATGGTGAAACAAAGCTTGTTTTTCAAATTACCACATAAACATCATTATTTCCCTATCACTAGAAAAATTATAGAAGGCACTGGAAATATCTTTGTTTAGCTGCCAGATACAATGTTTTAGTTTAACCTCTCAGATTGCTGTAGCTTGGAGTAGAATTCAATAAAATCAATCTGTATATAGAAAAATGTTAGGTAAGTGGAAGGCAGACAACTTAATGCTGAAATACAGAGGCTTCTAAAAAAGGGACTATTTGGGATGCTAAAAAGTGGCATTACACCAAACATTAGAGGGGAGTGTGTAGTGGCTGCTTGCAGGACAGGAGACAGTGCTGGCATCAGCACTGGTGCTCAGCCACAGGAGCAGCCCTTCCCAGTCTCCCAGTCTGCTGTCCAGCACGTGGCATGTGTTTTGTGCCCTGTTGATGTTGGTGTGGTACTGCGAGGTTGCTGCCCTCGCTGCCTCCCTTCCCCCAGCGTGCCGGGGATTAGACACACATCCCTGGCTCCCCGTAATGATGGGATTACTCCGTGCCCGAGGAGCAGCCTTTGAAGTGCACAGAGCTCACACGGTGTGGGGCTGCCAGGGCGGAAGGAAAGGCGAGCTCTGGGGTTAAGATGAGGAAGGGTGAGGGCACGGAGAGCCATTTTCCTCATGCACCCCCTGTCAGAGCTGTCTGGCCACTGATGGGGCAGTCATGTGCCACCACAGCAGGTGACCTGGCACCTTTTCCAGGCTGCTTGGCTGGCTCAGTGCAAGTGCTGTCTTCACTGCCCGGGCAGGGGTCCCCCCAGACAGGCTGCTCCGGTACTTCAGGAGCTCCTTGTGACACTTGAAAAGCCTTGGGAATGAGGGGAGAGCAGAGCTCCTTCCTCTTGCAGATGAGAAAACAGACAGCTGGCTCCTGCCTGCAGCGTGGCACTTAAAAAAAAAAAATTTACATGTAATTCATACCTTTTTTAAAACAACAGATTTTAAAATCCATTTTTTCTAAGTTAGTCACTCAAGGCATATTCATTATCTGTGCTCAGAAATTGTTCTTAATACATACTAAATTCCATAACTATGATGTTAACTGGCTCTTTTTGTCAGACTTTTTCCCTGCATTGCTTCCCAGTAGTCAGGGACAAGCTCAGCTTTTTATTTCCTGTGTATGTTCTGCTACTGTTGACATAACCTGTTAAAACTAGTCCCTTGAAGTCACCCACCCACCCCCTCCAGTCTGGAATACCTTGTTGGAAGGATTTATAATTACAGCTTGTTCCTGACTGCTTGCTTTTACCTTGCAAAGTTTGCTATATATTGGTTTATCAGAATCTGCATTTTGAAGGGTGCTGTGCTGTGCTGAAGCATTATAAGCTTATCTTGCATGCAGAAAATGCTGATTTGAGGGAACCTTTTCCGGCCGGGGCTTGCCTACAGCTATGTTTGCTTTGTGCTTACCTAAATCTGTTTCCTATTGATTGGATTTAGCTACAGTAACTATCTGAAAACGATGCACTTAATAAGTATCTACTTTCATAGTGGTATAATTGTATCTTCAGCAAACAGGTACAGTTATTTAAACTCTATTATGCTTATTTTAGCAATTAGTGACCTGGCTGCAAAAGCAGTGCATTAAAAAGAAAGAAAGAAAGAAAAAAAGCCCCAAAAACTCCCTGAGAAAATACCCACCAAAAGGTTTTAACAGATCCTTGGACAAATGGATCCCACTTCATGGCTAAATGCTAATCTAGGGGCCCAGACAGCAGCATAATACTTTGCTTTGTTAAATCTCATTCAGACTAAAACTTAAAAACTTATGTAGAAGTAGTGAATTGGAGACAAGGTTGGCTTTCCTTTTAAGTATGTGACAAGCTGTCGTGCATTGTAATTAAATTTTACAGCTTTTCAAGGGAAAACATTGTGACTTTCAAACAGAAACTTTCAAAAAATAATGATCTGAGTAGTTACAGGTGGACAGTTAAAAAACAGTTTTCTGTCCTGTTTAACTGTGTATATCAACCATATTACAAACATCCAGTATTTCTAAATCTTTGGTTTTAACTAAGGAGCCTAAAAATGCCACTTTCTTCATAAACCTCAGGTATAGGTGGCATTTTTTAATTAAAAAAATATGTAAAATCTGATAGCATAAAGAAAAAATATTCTTTGATTCAGTGTAAGAAAGGTTTTGGTGGTTTTTTTGGTTTTTTTTTTAAACCTTTTCCCTTTGGTAATTTCAGATTTTAAAGGTTTTACGCACCTTGAAAAAGCTTTAATGAAAAGTACAAACAACTCATACAGGTCTGGATTTTCTCCAAGATGTGAAGCCTCATTTAATTTACTTTTGAGTGTCGGTGTGAAAGGTGCCTTTTTTTTTTCTAGGTTTTATGGATACCTGAGATCCTTAGCGTCTCATGTTCTGAGTGTTTTCTGGAAGGCAACTTTACTTCATATATGATAAGAGATAATAATAGGGTTTTGAATTGAGTATGTATGTTCACTGACAACTTCCTATGGTTAGAATTTGGAACAGCCATGTGGAAATCATTACTGCTCCTTGTTTTCTCTATCTAATCCAGATTAACAGTTTAAATTACAGTTAAATAAAAGAGGCTATCAGGGTTGCAAAAGGATATGCTTTGAGGTTTACCCTGTTAACACAGTTCCCAAACGAAAGGGACAGAGCCATAGCTCAATTACATGGTAGTGTTTATTCTGGTCTCTGTTATCTATCCAACAGCAAAACATTGCAGCTTGAAAGGTGCATGAATTTGCACAGTGCTTTAATGTCACTGTGGGTTTAAAATCATGCCGTGATCAAGGTGTTGTCAGAAATGACAGAATACATGGGGTTTTAGTTTTGGAGAGGGGGGTATTGTTTTCTTTGTTAAAAAGAAATTAGGTTGGCAACACCTAGCCTAGTACTAATGTATAGAGAAGAGCAGCACTGTAAATCTTACCCTGTTGGAGGTAGATGCATTTGTTCTGGTTCTGTATGCCATATTTTACACTCTCTGGACCTTGTGGACCCCTTTATTTATTTTTAGTAAGTGTTGTGCTTTTGGTCCTGCAACCTAATAGTGTTAAAAAAAACAAACAAACCCCCCAACTAACTGCTCTTTCCACTGCAGGGGGGCAGTACCTTACCATCTCTGATCCCAAGGGCAAAGAAGGAGGAGTAGCACATCTTATCCTGCCATTGGGTCACCTGGCTCAGGCTGGAGATTTGTGCCTGTCCTTTAGGCATAAGGTACCTGGGCTGCATTCTGGTGCCCTGCAAGTCTTTGTAAGGAAAACTGGTGCTCATGGCCCAGCTGTTTGGGGAAGAAATGGTGGCCATGGCTGGAGACAGACACACATAACGTTACGAGGCATAGGCATCAAGAGTGTAAGTACTGATGATTGTGTTGCTTTTTGGGTTTTTGCATGAAAAAGATGAGGATGCTGAAATGGTGCAGCACTACAGTGTTCATCTTCTGGGTTCAGTTTCACTCTGTTTTACTACTTTGATCCCTGCCAATGGAATCACAATACAGATGAGCGTTACTGTGTATTTTTTAAAATTAGTTTTATGCATGCAGAAAAAAGAAATCCCAGCTATAGAAATATAGTACAGGCTACTCTGTCATTTCCTGAGTTACCTGGTACAGCCTATTTTAAGGGAATCACCACCTAGGAAAGAACAGCCTCATGGACAGAGGCATACTATATAGAGAATTAAAAAAAATGCCTGTATCAAGATTCCTCATGAGCAATGCTTTGAATAATTCAGTGCCACAAAATAGGAAAAATCCCCTGTGGATTAGTAACTGGCTAAACCATGGCAAAGGTACTGAAAAGAAGTAATTTTTGGTAATGCAGGGAGATTACAAGTGCAATGTCATGTGGTTTTATGCCCTTTAGCATGCCTGCAGCTGATAAGGCTGAGGAGGTGAATGATGACCAAACAATGCCCATAACACAGAATGGTTTAGTGCAATCAAAAGAAGCTGCTTGAAGTGCCATGAAGAATCTTTTAATACCTGGAAATTTTATAAACATTATGTGATTAAACTGGTATCAAAAGCTCAGTGTTATTCTTCAACCTCTGAAAGCAGTTTTTATTTCAGATTTGAAGAAGTGGCTTGGGTATTTCAGGGCCTGTTTTACTCTGACTTAAATATCAGGTGCTCTGAAAACCTCACACATCATAATGTTCATGATGGGAGCAAGCTACAAGATATACACTGTGTCTAGCTCTAAAGTGAATATTAAGGCTGTGATTAGTGCAGATAATTTTCTAGAAAATTTACCTCAGCAACAGTAGCAAAGACACTTGACTTTGTTAGCTGTAAATGAGTATCAGACTTAGAATGAGGACATTTGTAACAGGTGAACAATATATCTGCTATATTCTTACCCTTTTTTCCCCCCCTAAATTTCTCACTTCTGACAGTCCCCCTTTGCACTGTCCCTTGCCTCTCCTGACCCCCTGGCAGTAGCTGTCAGCATGGGCAGCCAGGGCTGCTGACCTGAACCACTGGGACACTTACCCAAAGATCAGATACTTAGCCTCTTAAGTAAGCAGGGAATGCCTCTGCCAAAGAGAAATCAGGAAGAAACGTGGAAGTTTTATTTTCTAGCTAATTAAAACTCAAAAGCAACTAAATGATAGTGATTTTGGAATGGCTTACTGGAAACCTGAGGAAAATTTGAATGAAGACCAAAATCCTTCATAGCACTTTTTAATTAATTACTTATCTGTAATTTTTTTTTTTCATCTCCCACTCAAATTGTTCTATTTCTCTTTCTAGGTTATTTTCAGAGGTGAGAAAGGGAAAGGAAGAACTGGGGATATTGGACTAGATGATGTGGTCTTGAGGAGACGACGCTGCTCTGAAGAGCATTAGCCAAGACAATGTACCAGCAGTCATCTCCTCTTGTCCTTCTCATGCAATTCCTACAAAACTTTGAAACAGAACTGCATGGAAAAGAAGAAAAAGTGGGAGAGCAGCAACTTCTTGGTGGTATGCTAAGTGCAATCTCATGGAAATTTCACTTAAATACATGGAGAGCACCTCCCAGGATTGAGGAAATCCAATCTCAGGCTGGTTCTTTCTATTAATCCTTACCCCTAAATAATATATTGTGTGTAATAACTTTGTTCCTTGTTAAGTCTGATGAGTGCTCATAGTAAAAGCACTTGTGAAAAAGGGAGAATTAATTACAAATGGTAGCAAAAGAAAGCTCCATCTCAAAGTCTGTGTTAACTGACAGCCATTATCATCCCACAATGATTATCTTTCATTGAATTAATTTATGTGAGTCCCATTGGATTAGTGAAAGTCTGGACCTCAGCTTTGGCTTACTGCCACTGACCTTTGAAGAAAGGTTTTTCATATATGAAATAGCATTTACTTTGCTGTTGCATCTGTATTAACCAAAACCAGTTAGAGAGAGTAGGCATTGCATCCTGTAATATTGCTACTGCTGTGTTTTGTGTATATGTGTATGGTTAATATATTTATATTTTTTACTATTTACAGACTGTAGTTGCAGGGTAATTGGCAGCTGTACTTTCTTCTTGTTCAAAACAAAAGTTCAGGATCTTCATCAATACTGCTGGTCATGCCAAATTGTCAAAGTCAGTTAATGGTGCTCATTGAAAAATGCTGGTGCAGTTTTTCGTGTTGTAACATCCTGGAAGCAAAAGAGCAAATGCTCACCTGATGGAAACTGGCATCTGAAAATGCTCTGCAAGTTTGCATTGAGCTCACAAGCAAGCCCTAAAGGGCTCTGAATCCTTCAAGAAGCTCCTTCTTCAGCTGAAGCAGCCACTAGAGGTTGAACTTATATCTTATAAGGTTGAGCCCGCTGGCAGGAATGATCCCTTCCCACAGGTGGCACAAGCCTACACATGAGGAAAACGGGCAGCTGTGTTAACACTGTAAAACTATTCAGACAATGAAATGCCTCCAGTGGTCTTTGGCAAATGTCTATACTCTGCCCAAACTTCTGTATATAATAAGCATTTTATTCTTTAGAACTAGAACAACTATTATATCTAATGGGAATAAGTATTTATCAAAACTTTGGACTAATTTTATAGTTATGTATCATGCATGTGCTGTGCAGTTTCCCAGGGAATTCTTCTGTTTGGTTTGGAATTTTTTAAGTGGGCATCATCATCACTGCTAGCAATTCTAAAATTGACAAAGTAATTCTAACATTTAAGAAAATGACAAGAGATTGGTAAACTACTGCTAATGGTGCAGCCTTAAAGTTTCCAAAAAAAATTATTGAAAAATAGATCTCAGTTCTTTTGAATACTTAAATACAGTGTAAAATAAATGTCAGCTGCATAGCATGTTCAGTCTTGTACAAAGTTCACAGAAACAAATTTGCAAGACCATTAGTGGTCATATTCCAAATCCCTGTTCCTGACAAAGTACAAGTCTGAAAGTATTTTTTCCCATTCATTTCTTAGTACAAAACATGGTGTATAGAGCAGAAATGTATGTGATCAAACAGAAAGTCTCCTGCAAAACTGTATCAGCAAACATTTTGAAAAGGAAAAAAGCAATGTGTTTGTAAACATTAAATTTTAAACTATTTTGCTCTGAATATGATTATAATCTTTTTCTCTTATGTTATTTTGTGATACATCAGAAATATCTGTGAATAGTTGAAATACCTTGTCCTTACTTTAAAGTAATCAGTAAAAGAGACTGTTACTTGCTACTAACTGGGAATCTTGTTTTCATTTCTAGATAGAGAATCTCAATTTTCATTGCAGTGAAATGAAACAAAAGATGACAATCCTAGAGTGAAATAGCTTATTACCAGTTTTAAAAATTGAAATACATTTCACTATAATATGAAGAGAATACTTCATTTATTATTCAGAAGGAAGAATTATCATTTTCAACCTAACTTTAAGAGAAGTCTCACAGGTAATTTAAGAGCTTCTGCAATATTAGATATCCATTTTGCAAGAAGGAGCAGCTACCATATTTCCTCACTCTGAGTCAACCTGCACAAACTGCTGTTAGGTGCATAAGATTGACACATTGTACTCTGGTTTGTCACATTACTATGATGATTAGATTAAGATTCCCAGGATAAAATGGAACCCCTGTTGATCCAAGACTGTCAGAGATCTTCGCCATTTTTACAAACGTTCACTGGAACCCAGGATCTGGATTGATTCAGAAGGTAGACAGCAGTAAGTACTCAGGTGACAGGGGGAGGATTCAGGTCTCTGTTTCATTGATGCATTTCATTGCTACAATAAAACATGGACTTGTAGAGCCTTGTGACAGCTGCAGGACAAGACAGGAGCTCAGCAGTGTTTCTGAGCTCTGGGGGAGCTGTTGTGGCTGTAGGTCACTCACCTCCAAAGCTGGTTGTCCTGTGACTCTGTGTGTTGCCTTCTCTCCATCTTTTGGATAGATGAGGATCCTTCTCCAGTTCTTGTTCTCCAGGTGCTTTTCAGGCAGCTCTCTCCAGCCATGCACCTCAGCCAGGACTGCCTTTCCATATGAGCCTCAAGAAATGGATGAAAGTATGGCCTGAGGTCTTCCTATGAAGTAGATTATATAGTTTTGGATTTAGTAAATAGGTAATAGAAATTCCTGCTTAGATACTTAAGCAAGCAGAAGAAATTACACTAAATTAACATGAAAAAAATTATCAAATGTTTAACCTTTTGCCAGTTTAAAACTGAATGTTCTTAAAAGACATGTGAACTCTTTTCCCCAAAGAGATTGAAAATAAGATTCTTTATAAATGACACGTACTGGGACCAGTGGCAGTGTGCATTTATGAATTTTGCTGACATCAAAATCCGCAGAATGGAAGGGACCAAGACAAGATTTCTGGTTCTAGATTCCATTCTATCCAGTGCCCTCATCTCTCATCAGAGCCATGTCACCAAATCACTAGTGAGTGATTTCAGTGAAGCCAATTCATTCTGAAGAAAAGCTTCCCTAGGTTTCCTTCAATAAATAACCTGAGACTTGGAGGTCAACATTGCTTTAACAATAGTCGGAGATAACAATAACTGCTCTTGTAAGACCCAGGTAGTCATAAGATGACACCCTGAACAGAAGAACATTTATAACAGCAGCTTTCATCATCCTGCTCTGTTCTGGTGGAGAAAAGCTGCCACAGTAGCAGCTGCCTCCAACCCATCTGCCAGGGGTCTCTCCATGCACCCCATTACAAGTTATTTCTCCTTACAAATGAAGCACAGAATTTATCAGAAAGACAGCTTGATCCAAAGTCTCTTGATTTTAGGAATGCATTGTGACACTCACCCTGAAAACTGTTCAATCTGCTTTTAAAAATTTGCAGCAAGAAACTATAGCTATCTTTAAAATTTTAATTGTGAATGTTACACATACAGAATTATTAATTAGCAAGTGAGATCCAATTAAATACTATGCAATTTTTTTATATAGCTCTATCACTCAAACAGCAAATTAGCAAAGTTTTCCTTGTGTTTAAAACACTTTCTTATCTGCTGTTTTATCCCGACATCCTGTAGTCACACAGCGCTTTATGACTTCAGATTTTCCATGTCATTTAAAAAAAAAAACAAGTTGAACAATGCATTGGTGTAAACCTGCAACTTTAGAAGGAAATGCAAAACATTTTAGTGGTGAGTTTCAGGAATTATTTGAAAGATCACTGCATTAACTTTCAAAGCTTGAGGAGATTCCTTTCTCAGACCCCACCTACTGCATCAAGCAGACCTAGCAATACATGAGGAAATGCATTTGGAATGTCTGTAATGCTCCATTTGTTTAAAATACCAACAGACCAAAGACCATCAAAGACAAGTTTTCAACAGTACAGACTGAACCATCTCTAGATTTCAGAAACCAGCCCTATGTAAGTTTTCAGGATTGCAAGTCCAAAATGAATCATATCACATTCTAGTGGCTCTGCTCTTACCAATTCTCCTTGTGCGATCTCCTCCAAACCTTTATTCAGTGTTTGAGCAAAGAAGCTAAGATCCATCTGGCACACAGGATAAGGATGCTTCTCTCTGTGACACAGCCAAATCCTGCTTTCCTCTGACTAAGAGTTACTACAGCACTTTCCCAGTAATCTTTTTAACTTAATACTTGAATTTTTATCTTCTCTTCAGGCCAGGAATAATCCTCTGTCACACTTTTCTCCCAGATTTTAACTTGCTGTGCATTACAGCAGCCTGTGTTCTTATTTCAGACTCTTATCCTGAATACTCTTGATAAATTCATTTTGAGTTTGCTAAACACCTGTAAAGACAAAGTATAGTGTGTATGCAGAGAATGATTTTAGTGCATTTGTATGCAACACCAGTGCTAAAATTTGATTTTGACAATCTCAAGGAATTTCAGGAAGAAATTACAGAAGTGGACTCAGCAGACTTTTCCTCTATCAGAATGGTTCAAGACAGAATTCCTTACATGTGAAGCAGGACTACTGTGGCATACATATACTCCTGCTCAGTACCAGCTTCTTGAACTGCAAAGAAGAGGAAAAAAAAAGCCTTCCAATGAAAATTGACTTTGATTCTCATGCCCCTGGTTCAAGTCTAGCACAAAAGCAAGAGCTCCTCATTTGAGAGCTCATGCAATGTGTGCCACCTCAGCTGGTGATGACACCACCAGAATCCCAGCAAAGACCATCCTGACATCCAGTACAATATGAGTAGAGAACTAAACACAAATAAGCAGTGAGCAGTGCCAGTTACGTTTTAAATTAGGAAAATAACTGCAAGAAATTTGATTAAGAGGATTCAGAGGCATGTCCAAGAGAGACACTTCGCCTTCCATCTCTCTGAAGTTCTGGGTTGGCTCAAAGAATGTTATTTTACCTCAGTTTCCTGGATCAGTTGGAGGACCAAAGATGTTGAAGCTCTTCAAAGTTTCCATGTCCCAGTGCTGAGTGTCCTCTCTGAAATGTGCATGATTCTTGCTAATAGTCTAGGGGATTCCTTTAGCCATTTGTGAATGCACAAGGTTTGAAGCCACTGGAACTGCTCACTAATAATAAAGTCCACAACTCTATGGTGCATATGAATTTACATAGGAACCAGGAACCCCTGTTTCATTAGAGAGGTCATTAAACTGTGAGCAATTCAGTCACTCTTCTGTCATATGCCACTGGTTCTATCCTGATTTTAAAGACATTACAGTTGGGTGAGCTCTGTTACTGAAAGTTGCCTCTTAGATTTGAGTGATGTTTAATTGCTCACAAGGTACATCACAGTTTCGTGGGGGAGGCTGGGAGACCTCGGTATTCTGGCAGCTCATCTGTGCATTAGCAAACAGCCTTGGCACACTCACTGTGAAATCCATAGTGAACTGCTCTGCCAGATTTTTTCAGAGTAATTTGCTTGCCAAATAAAGATATGTGACCAGTTTGAAGAAATACCACATTAATACAAAAAATAGGCTGAGAAAGTACATGGCACTTTACAGGTACATGGTACATCAAGGAATGCCTTCATCACTATATGGCCTTTGATCAGATTACACTGGCAATTAGAGAGCTAGATGGGAATTCTAAGGATTCAGCTACAGCTTGGCTGCAGAGCTCCAGCCCACAGCCTCTCACACAAGTTCTTCATAACACAGTTCTTCATCTTTCATTCAGCCATCCCCTCCCAGGGTACCACTTTGTCCAGAGTGTGCTTGGCATTGCAGCAAACACAAATGATGACTACCCCTTTCTGTGGCTGGCTGTGACCAGGTGGTCCCTTATGTGTGGAGCTCTCTTCTCTTTTCTCCCAGGATTTGCCAGAGGTATCAGCTAAGCTACTAAAAAGACACTGGGCAAATTCAAACTTTCATGTGCCCTAATGAAAGTAAGGAGCTTTTCCCTTCCTGATATGGAAGTCTGCTTCCTCCCTAAAGAGAGACCCTCACCAGAGGAGACCAAATCCATACCACCCTCTGCACTTGCTGCTCCAGCTGAAATTCCATGTACTGCAACTGGGTCCAGTTTGAAGGTAACAAACCCCACAAACTCCCCCAAATAAGAAAATATCCTGAGGATGCAGCAGACAGATTGGAACTGCGACAGTTCAAGAAGCAGCTACACTTGAAACTACAGGAGGCACAAATGGGGAATCCAAAAAATCCTGCAATTTGCACTCAGCAGTACACAACTGCAAAACAACTGGATTCCATTTCTGGCCCTGAGCTGACAGACTTGTGAGTTTTCTGACAGCCAGTCTGCCTGGAGCAGCCTGGGAGCAACAGCATCTCCAAACCACATGAGGCTGCCAACAGCAACTACAAGGTAATCCTGCAGTATGCAAAACATTATGTGAGGGGGAGTTTCAAACCTTGCTATTAAAAATATCCTTGGAATTATGCCTCTGTCCTGACAGTACATACAACCCCTGCTTCATTTCAGTGGCAACAACTCCCTTTGGGGAAGAGAAGGGGAACTGCACAGAGTTCATCATAAGGAACTGCACAGAGCTCTATCAGATCAGGCACAGGCTTCTCCAGTGGTCTCAAGCCTTGCCCACCAGCCTTTCAGCTGGGGGGTCAGGCTGCTTGTGAGCTCCCTGAACATATTCAAGGATGAGTAGAAATTTTCTCTGGGCACCTCTCCACACCCTTTTTTATACTGCTGTAAGAAAGGTGAGTGTCACTCGCATGACAGATAAGAGAAGTGAGCAAATGCTTATATTGTGCACCCAGAGTAGGTAAGTGCCATTCACTTGAACTCATAAATTCTCCTCCCACACACTGTCCTCTTGACACTCGGCCACAGAGACTCAGGTCAGCCAGCCTAGCCTACAACAGCAGCTAGTTCAAAGCAGTAACACAATAAAAAACTTCCATCATCCAGCATTATTGAAGGGGAGAAACTTTATAGACAGGTCTTTGACTTCCAGAAGTCTGGACCTTTTTCACTCATCCCTTTTTCACCACCAGAGTCAGGCAAGACATTAAAATACTGCTCAAAGAAATGCACCTGACATTGTCTCCTGAAGAAATGCCAGACAGGGCATCTCAAAGCTAAGAAACCCAAAACATGTTACAAAAGGAACTTGGGCAGCCATGAGACAAGCAAGTACATCAGACACTGATGAATTCACCACACTCCCTGAGCTATTTGTATGTGATTTATCTCAGCTTCTAGTTAATTTTTAACAGGCCCCTGTCCCTTGCCAAGCAGTTGGGAAGCTTGCTGCACGTTCTCCAGAAACAAACATCCGAGCAACAGTTCAAAGGGGATGCTGTAAATGGAGCTTCGACTCAAAGTAAAATATATTGTTTAAAATCCTGTTTCTCCTGTATCTGAAAATGGACAATCTCTTTTGCCCACATCAAAGAATTGAAACGCAACATCCCTCCCTTCTCTATAACGTTCTACTGTGCCCTACAGCTGTTTTTTCTTCCTAGGTACAGCATGTCATTCCTATCTCATATGCAGACCACTGAAAGGGCTCCAGAGTAGATTCTTCTATTAAACAAAGCTACCAACATTCAAAGACCTTTAAACACTGCACTTGCACCAACACAAACCAGGACACCATGAGGAAAAGACAAAGTGAGAGCTCTTGCAGCCTCATGTTTCAGGACACTACTGCTTTGTTGCAGAGCTTCCAGCCTAGCCCACAGTGACATCAACCTATCAAGAGCTCTTCAACAGAGCTGCCAGCAAGTGTATGAGCACTACACTTGAAATACTCTCACCTGTAAAATGCCTCCTCTAGTTCCAGTCATTGGAACCCTTTGGGCTGGTGGAGAGGTTGTGCTGCTTGCTACCAGCCCCAGCTGAGGCTCTGACTCCTGGCAGGACCCAATCCTGCCACTACTGCCCCAGCCTCAGTGAGGATTGGAGCCTCCAGCTGTGAGCAGATTCAAACCAAGTCTCTACAAATGAAACTGGAAGAATTCCCATTTGCCTCTGAGCCTTCCCAGCTGGGCAGTCCATGAAGCACCACCAGCACCAGAATTTACACAGTGCCACAGTGCCAGGGCAGCCCGTGCAGGAGCTGGGGATGCTGAGGGTGCACTGGACTGCCAGCAGGCAGGTGGGCACTGCTGTTGCTTCTCAGCATGACCAAGTATTTAATCAAGCAGCCAGGGCTGCAAACTCAGAGCTGGAGTGTTTCTGATCCTGCCTGTGGTAAATGTGTGTGTGAGCTTTGGAGCTGCATGTGCTCACCACAGCACACCATGTGGGGGTACAGCTCCCCACCTTCTGTATCTCAGTCCCCCACAATAATTTTTCCTCCTCCTCACAAAACTTTCAGAGTTTCTCCAAAAGTGTTTTGTCCTCCAGATTTTTCCAAGACCTCAACTTTTTATTCCCCATCTTCTGGCTCTCTGCTGTTGCTGTGGTCTTGAGCTTTTGATGAAAAACAGGCTATCAAAGTCTTTCTCCTTAGCTTTTAAGTTTAGGCTGCCCTGTCTACAAGGAACATTCAAGTTAGGTATCAAGCACTGCACCTGGCAGCGTTTTCCAGATCCTGCCCAAACAATAATGAAGTTTCTTTGCCTGAGGACTTGCTGAACCCAAACACTGTTTTCTCTGGCACGAGAGGCCAATTTACTTCTTGAGATAAATATTAAGCAAACATGCTTTTTTTGACTTTAGAAAAAAAGAAGCTAGAACATTTTCCTGCAGCCACAGTCACACCCCTTGTGCCTGTAATGCTGAGCTATTTTTAAAAATTAATTCCTGTGGTATTTTCCTAATAGCCATAAAGCAGCAGGGCATTCTCTAAAACACACTTGGCTATTATTACTCCTTCTATGCCTTCTGACAATGACCTTCCAAATTCAGATAGATTAGCCAGCTGTCAAAAGAAAAAAAATTATTCTCTTTGTAGCCTTTCCTCTATTACTTATTTTCCCCAGGCAGCAGCTCAGATCTGGCAGGAAACCAACTTAGCTCCTGCCCTAAGACTCCATCGCATTTTTGAAAGGTCCATGTCCTGAATGTTGCAACTTGGGTCTTCTGTATACTAAAAAAAGGAAAACAAAAACTTCTATCTTTTGCCAGTATTTCAACAAACAAAACCAGTGAACCAAACCCAAGTGAAGAACTGTAGCCCATCCATGTAACAGCACTCTCAAAATCCTAAAAAAGTAAGATTAATATTTTAAATTGCCCAAGGGGCACCAACATCAGCCATTTAACAATCATTTCAACAATCATGCTGTTTCCTTCATCCAGAAGATGACAGGTAAAATGAGTTGTGACCTAGTCAGTAATTTTTTAAAAAGCACAGAATTCTCAGCAAATGATGATACAAACCCATATCAGCATGAGGACCTCTTGTTAAAATAGCAGGCAGAGACACGGAGCACTTCGCTGTTCTCTCTCCTCTGTATTTGTTCTCTGGTATAAAATGCAGAACATTTTTTCTAAGTCTATGTAAATATAAACAAAGATTAAAATTAGGACAAATATCTCTTTTTCCTGATTTCATCGTCTGAACCCTCAATTACACTCCTCAGTAAGCATCTATTTTCTATTCATACCCACAATTTATTTCTACTTGCTGGGGTCCATGCTGGAGGAGAGTACTCCCAAGCAATCAGCCTTTCACTCCCAGCTCCTGACCCCATTTCTTTTTTTCCATCCTTTTACATGTTCCAGCCTTCTGGCCATCTCCTAATGCTGAAATCAGATTTTTCCTGCCTGAGGCAAGAGAAAAAGTAGCCCAACATACTCCTATGAAGAAGGGATTGCCTCTTGCCATGCTCTCTACCTGCCAGATCAAGTCTGCAGCCCTGTGACACCCTTGCTGCTGCCCTCAGCAATGTTTGTGAGGCCACAAGACATGGCAAGTTCTGCAGCAGCCCTTCACGGCTCTGGTTTGCATCCTGTCACACTCCCCCTGCTACTGCCAGCACACCCTTAGACAAAAGCCTCATTCAAGTCAAAACCCAATTTACTGACACACAAAGAATCCCACAACTGGTAATGGCAGATTTTCAAATTCAATTTTTTCCCTTGCATGCTAATGCTCTTTTCCCACTACTCAGGGTCCCCACCTCTGTCCTAGGGAGGTGATGAACACAAGATACTGTGAGACAATTGCAGGTCAGAGCTTCACCCATCAGTACAGCCCACCCATGTCCCCTCCCTCATGGAGCTCACACTGCAGAGAGAGCAAAACTAAACTGAGCATTGCTGCTGCTCTAGCAAAGCACAGTCACAATTCAGCTGGCAGCAAATCAGTAATAATGGTTTTAGCTCAAACCATGCTGTTTGTCATCAGTTGATATTCTGGCCCATGAATTCCACCATCATTCATTTAGTCAGAAATTATATTCAATTCTCATGTATGTCAGAATCACAAAATTTTGTTTGTTTCTTCCATGTCAAAGTTATGGGAAAATAAACATGGTGGGTTCCAGAGCTCCCTAAAGCCAAATGCTAATAATTGCTGGATGAGAAAACAACAAACAAAAGGTTATCAACAACTTCTATCTAGTTTCATAAGACAAACAGGAAAAAAGACTTCAATGAAAAAGAGCCAAATTCCAGGAAAAAAAAAATTAATTTTTTACTTCCAGTCACCATCTCTTGCAATTAATCCAGCAATTTATCTACATTTCCAGGCTCTTTATTTGTTCTCAAAGACACTGGGAATTAAAAAATAAAATCAACTTTCAACCTCCTCTGAAGAAGCTACAATGAAGTGCAACAGTAAACAAGTTGAACATGCCTCTAGCAGGCAGTCAATTCCAATACTACATATTTATTCACATAGGGGGAACAAGGCATATATTTTATATATATATATATATGAAAAAATATATACCTATTTATGCATCTAGGTAACACATGTAGGAAGGGTCACTTGAGAAGTATTGTCAAGGCTGGTCAGTGCAGGGCCTCCCAAACCTCTCCCTGGGGCAGCAGAAACTACATCAGAAGGAAAGACCTCCCCTAGTGCCAGGTTCTCCCCATTTCACAGGTGCAAACCCTCAGCAGTTTGTCAGGCTCTGCTTGTTATAACAAAAGCCTTCAGTCTCCTGACATTTAAAAAGGATTCAGTGAAACATAACATGAGCTAGTTAAAAATACCCTGCGGAGTGTGTACACACACCCACGCTGCTATAAGCCAAAAATCACAGAAAGCAAAGTTTGTATGGCCTAATAGCACATCCTACCTATCCCCCCTCTCCTGCAGAACTCCTCCAAAACAGAATCTGCCCTGTGCCTTGCCTGGTGTGCTTTGAAAGCCCCAGTGATCCCCTCCTCCGTGCCTGGCACAACAGGGCAGAGCTGGACATGCAGGGGTACCTGGTATAAACAGAGGGTGGAGGGTTCACAGTGCAGTACTTTTCCTGACCTTCAGCCAGAAGGTTTGTTTTACCTAATTTGAAGCTCCTCCTCTTGGAAACTACCCAAAATGTCTTTGTTCAGTTCAGGTTGTGACTTAATCACGTGGCTAAACTTGAGTCCTGCGGTTCTTTTGATCTCTCATGGTTAATCAGACTTCTTGCTCACTTTGCTGTTGTTGATGCTGCTCTCAGATGCAGGGACTGCTACAAAGAAGAAAAAAATTATCAAGAAATAAATAATAAATAACAATCACAGCGGCATAATGGTAAACCACCACCACCATCAGCATCCTGTCTCTTTGCTGGGAAGATTCTACATGTCCCAGATTTCCACTACACATGTCATCTTATATTAAAAAAAAAAAAAAAAAAAAAAGAAAGAAAGTAAACTGTATCACCTACTACCCCACTGTATAAAATAACAGAAGGTTACAGGCTGTGCAATGAGTAGCCAGGCAACCAGGCTTCCTGCATGACAGTTCTGGGATATTTTGATACCATGCCAGAGGCTGACAGCAGCCTTAGATTTCTGCCTCCTGGCAATGCCTCCAGGCTGCTCTTCCTACCATGCAATTCATCACTGTTAACATCAGCATGCTCTGAATAATAAGTATCCAGCTATGGGTCAGGGTGCACTTCACACCACCTTTGTGCTGATGCCACAAAGTGGCAGAAGAGAAGGCATTGGGCTTTCAGACTAGAAAACAGTTAAAGAATTGATGGAAAAATCCTGTGCCTCCTAAGAGAAAGATTCATTTTGGAAAGTCAGTAGTGCCCAAACAGGTGATACTACAATAATTGATACTTTTATACTGTGCCATTGTGATCCATGAGAGATCTTACACTAGATGCCATATGAACAAAGAGGTTTCTTTCAGGGAAATCCCAGCTGTTATGCCTTTTGCTTTAACAGACAAAAGCCCAAAACAGTCTTCTCATCTCTTCTTTTATCTGTGAAAAGGTTATTAGAAAAAAAGACAAAAAGACTTGACTCTTGCAATACTGTCCTGACTGGTACAATGCCATCATCCAAAGGAAACCTCACTCAGATGAATTCAGCACAGCCTGCTACCAGCACTTGAAGCTCTTTTCGTTCAGCATTATAAAATTGTTTTTCTCTTGAGTGCAAGAGTTTCACTTCAGGCCCTGCCAAGGTCAATATGCAAGATAAATACTCTCCCCACTCATGGCCTAGTGGGAGGTCTCCTAAGCACCTCAGGATTGCCATATAATACATGGGGAAATATGACATCCAACATTTCACATGCTAAATTATGTCAGATTTCAGAATACAAGCAAGATTTTTCTTCAGCTACTCTGTTCTTACCCTTTGTGATACAGAAAATAAGGGATCCTCTCTAAATCTGAAATACTTTGACTCACAGTGGTAGACAAGAAGAAATCAATAATTCTTATAGGAATTGCTGCCAGCAAAGGTTTAGCTGAACAAGGGCTGTCACATTAACCTCCTCCATGAAAAGTTAAGTGACTAGAGCAGAGGATAAGGGGGGTTGAGGAAGGTGAGAGAAACACTACCAGTCACTCCCTAAACAGATAGAGATCCATTTTTAGAATGCTCTTCCCTAGAACATCTTCCTTAAAAATCACAGTTTTCCCCTTAAAAATGGATATATCTTTAATAGTAAGATTATCAATATTTATTTTTGTTATCATTTTGCCATTATCATATTGAATGATCTTTTCTCCAAAGGAGCCCATAAGTTTTCACAGTTTTCACAGTGTTTGGCCTGGAATGATAAAGTGATAAAGTGCAGTGATGTTCTCTGAAATGTAACTACTGTACATTTCATTTGGCAAAAAGATGTCTATAATTCAGAGGTCTACATATTCCTCAAAATATCTGGGTTATTCAATTAAGTTCATAATGAAAGAGGAGTCATTCATAGAAATAATCTGTTAACCCAAAGCAGGAACTTTACACCTGAGGACACACACCAGCACATGCATGAAAAGACAAGGTGAGTTTATCTTGGATGGACTCTCTCTGTCCAGGCTGTGTCAGTCTGCAGCATTTCACTGTCAGTACAGCTACTGCTGTCTGCACTACCAAGCTAGAACAGACTCATTAAATCTAGTTAACTCTGAGTCCCAACCCCAATGTGTCCAACAAACCTCCAGACAGTTATGGAAAAACCTGCCCTTTTAAATTTTCAGTAACAGTATGAGATATTGAATCTTGTCAGAGATGCTGACATCTAAATATGTTTCACAAACTTCTGAGTTTTGATTGCTTCACTATATTTCCTGAATGCATTATGCCTGCAATTTTCCTCCTCTGAATAACACAAGTCATCTGTGTCAAAATAAATTTATCACCTATTAATTTCCATTCTTCTGCTCAGACAGTTACTTCACACCTCCCAGACAAGGGCAGTGCAATGGAAGGGCATCAGGTTGCTAACCTAACATCACAGAGAAGGTTACAACATTTCTTCCCCCTTCAGTATGTGCACTTGGCAGAATTCTGAACAGACTTCTGGCAAAATATAAACCAGACATATTTTTTCAGTTTTCAGAGAGCTCTTCCCTGAGTTCATAGAGCTGGTGTCCACTTTGACTCCTTCGGTTTAAAGAGAAATGCAGTTTTTCTTGTTCTGCTGTAATCAATGAAGGCTATTTCCTAAAAACATTTCATGGGGAAGTAAAAAACATTTAATGGGAAGTTATAGAATACACAGAAAACATTTAATAAATAATGAAAAGTTGTCACTTTTGACAATTCCATTTTCAAGAGAAAACAACCCATTAAACAACAAACCTGGAAACAAGTATGTTTTAAAGGAGCAAGAGGCAATTCTTAAATGACACAGAATCCATGTATCAGACACAGCAGTGATACAGCTGGATAGAGCTCCACTTCTCGACCATCCATGTCAAAGATTAAAAAATAAAACAAGTCAAGGTATTTTCTAGTGTGGAGTAACTCAATCTCTGACAGAAAAGCTCTCTATTTGATTAAACCACTACATCCTATCTTTCAGTCAAATTGAACTTCATTTTGCTTTCACCATAATTCTACCCTACACTGCCTCCTTGCTAAAAGCAGAGTGGGTGTATTTTTCCATAAGAAAGCAGGGCAAAAGTGCAAAGGAAATGTACTTATCATCATGCTCCCACCCTAATGCCCAACTGAAACAAAAGCTGAGCAGATCAGTTGTTTTCTTTTTTGGTAAATCAGGTGGCCAGCACCATCTCTCTCCCCCCCACACCTCATTTGACACTGATGCCACTCACCAGCGGCAGCACGGCTGCTCCCTGAATGCTGCTCCACCAGCACAGCACTGCAGGGTCTCATTAGGACAATGTTAATTTAATTAAGAATGCTTTTAACACAGAGAAAGGAGATTTAAAAGCCTGTCAGTCATTGTATGCAGTTTCCCAACTTCTGTCCTTTGAATATATGAGCTCATCACAAAGCTCCCACTGATACACCCTGCGGGCTATCAGTCCTCTTTATGGCACAGTGTCTGTAGCACAAAATGAACAACACCCTCTCTACCTCATACATTTACTCAGGTCAGTGACAGAGTCTCATCCCTCAAACTATTTTAAAAAGGTTGTTGCTTTTTGAAATTGCCTTACAATATTCTCAGATTACAAAAAAACCCTGTCTAACAGACTTCAGACATAGTTCTTTTAAAAAAATACACCTACAGGATTCCTCCTGAGAAGGGAAGAGCATTAACATCTAGGACGCCTATGAACACAAGTAAAATCTTCCTCCCATAAATTCAGGTTAACAGCAGTTAGCATTGTTACTTTAAGAGCTATGCTCTGTCTATAGCTTTTATCCCTGAGCCTAGAGGGAAGGTGCTCCAGGGGGATCCTTGCTCTGGAGGATACGTTTGCAGTAGTGCACGTGGACATCTGAAAGGTGAAATAGCCCTTGAGTCAGCCAGGATAAACACCACACTAAAGCCAGGAATCTGCAGCAGCATTGCTCTTGAATGCCCAGTCTGGTAAAATTTCACACTCAGCTCTGGCAAAATCATGCTATCAAATGCCAGATTATCATATCATCCCACTGATTTGCACTGAGATACACTCCCTGAAACATATCCAAGAAATGCCATGAAAGTATGCACCTCGAAATGGCAAAAATAATAACCCCAGAAAACAAATAAGGGAGGTAACAATAGGAGAATTCATTGCAGGAACAGCAGCATATCAGAGCAATGACAGAAAATCAAGCCCTAACAGCAGAGAGAAGACATGCAGAACAAACATGACTTCTAACACTGTGTTAAGGCTCTGGAAAGACAGAAAATCAAAAAAGGAGCACAAGCTCAAGTTTCCTCCTACAGTTCAGTATGGAAACTTCTGGCCAAAACAATGTTATTTACTATAAGCTTCAGTATTGCCTCAATATTCATTCAGGGGCAGATCAGACTCAAAGTTTTCTTCCTAAAAGTGACTGTTTCTTACTCAGCATGAATTCTAATATAAGACACAGGGTATGAGACACATTTAGCAAACACCCAGCTTGGATTGCTTAATTTTACTTTTCTTCTTCTGTGTCCAAATCTACATTGCTGCTCTTGACCAATGCTTTTAACAAGAAGAGTGCCCAGCTTGGTGCCCAGCTAAAAATGCATTTTGCTGGGGATCTTTGCTGAGTAGGACTATCAGATTTACTCCACTGTTTGAGCAGCTGTCTAAGCTACTACTCTAAGCATGATATTCAGCTTGCTGCATCAATGTCAGATTTCCTGTGTGCAATTTTAACTGTAAAGAAATTGCTGTGATCACGGGCTGAGTGAAAACAGCATTTATACCCTTGGAGGTGATATAAAGAGAAGAGAGACAATAACTGGCTGGAATGAAACAGAATCTGTGTTACAGGGGGAAAATGGATACTTGCATCCTTCAGGATTCTAGTTAATAAGCTTAATGATTGCCACCGGAAGACACTGAAGTCTTGCTCCATAATTGTACACAAATCCTAAAGACATTAACGGAAACAGCAGCATATAAAAATTGGCTACAACCAAAAACCATGGGCATGAAAAACTGGCACAATCAACATCAGTGCTACTTCTGCTGAATAACAATTGACATAGCTGAGAGTTGAAAAAGGGGGGCAAAGAAATCCAAAGAGAGAATCTGCTACATTCTATAATGTTCATTTCTCTATAGAATCTGCTACATTCTATAATGTTCATTTCTCTAGTGAATCTGCTACATTCTATAATGCTCATTTCTGCTACATTTTAAACGGCTCATTTCTCAGGATACCCTTATGTCATAAGTATGCCACAGGGCACTTAAACAACTGCCCATGAGACACAAATGTATATCTGATCATCTTTTCTTTGGCATGAAGTGCTCTGCATGTCATGCTTTGAATGCCCTCTGAGAATCTGAACTGTTGGCTCACTAATGAGACGTGTCCCTCATTTATG